ATAGAAATGCTTGAATGCCAACCAACGACATGTGATCTCTCTCACTTACGAGTAGCCCCTCGAATCTCCTCATAAGAGAAGAGTAATGTCTGCGAGGTATTTAATAACGGTTATTGAGATGCCTCTTGGAATCTGTCAGTGGAACTAGAGTTGAAGGGTTTAATTACTTGGCTTCATCATCATGACGTTGTGAGCCATGTAGTGAAACGACGATCAATCTTGAGGGCCGTGAAGACCTTTTTCCACGGAAAAGTTCATACAATTGTTCTTGTATTATGAGTCTACAGCTGTTGGTGGTGGTCGACGTCTTGTGTGGTTTGAGCCTTTACATTTGGATGCGCTGCAGGGGAAATTAAAGCCCCCCAAGCCGATGCAAGGGAGACGGAAAGTTAGTTAGTTGTATGCGTAGAAATTAAAGGTCAACAAACAAATAATTGTGTATATCATAATACTGCACAGTACAAGTAACTCTGAATACTTGTAAATAATCTTGACCTCTGACGTTTTCAGGTCTTGTCGCTCCATTGATCGTCCCGAAGCCAACACAAACCAAAGAGTCACTGCCTCGCTGGGTGGCTCGTATATCGTCTTGGGGGCCTCGGGGAACAAGAAAACACCAGACCTTAATACAGGGGGTCAAAATAAACTCAGTAAAAGATATTCTAAACCTCACAAAGATAGCCTAAATTTATGTAAAGTCACCCAAGTGTTTTTGTCATCCAGGTGCAAGGTCCGGAGTTTTCTTTCCTCCCCAAGGGGGTCTCCAAGCCAAGAGACCCCGGCTAAAAGACAAGATCGAGAGAAATGGCGATATGTACCTAATGAGCTGCGGGTGAATGTGGCTGAGGAATATAATCATCTTCCATTAGACTTTTTGAATAGAAAATGGCTGTGTCTAAAGGCCCGATGCTGATTCAAAGACAATCGTGTGGCACACTCTCTCAGCTTGTGATCTCTTTTTCCTTCTGTCTTCGCTGCGTCTCTCTCTCTCTCTCTCTCTCTCTCTCTCTCTCTCTCTCTCTCTCT